GTAACCAAATAGCTGGTGTCTGTAGTCAAACAGTCATCAAAGGCAAAGTTAGGTTTCTGGGAAGTATGTAGGAAATGCCGGCATGCCATGACTCATGACAATGCCATGAATAGCCTATGACAGCTAAAGACTGTCCTATTACAATACAAAACAATGACACCCATTTGAAAACCTAGTCACATGAAACCATGCACGCACACCTGCAGCTTCACCTGTTCCCAGTGTACACAGTAAATAGATGACATTTTAGAGGATGTTGTGGACAAACAAACGTTTCAGTCTGTTTTTATTACACATACATAAATCTCATACCTGCCCTTATTATTATTATTATTATTACTTTTCAGTTGACAGATGCTTCCTTACTCTTGGATGTGTTAAGGTAGGGTAACTTACAGCTTTGTCATTTTAATAGTAAATGAACCTCAGTGTAGGGCACAAGCAGTATGCTCACATGACTAGGTGGGTATGGTAGACTGGCAGAGCCAATCCACTATCTGGTCTAACATAAGCTGATTATCTCCCTCATACACTTAACTGAGACAAAAACCCTGCAAACACACACAGTTGTGCTCTGGGGCTTTTGGGCCAAGCATGGGTCAGGAGGTCAGAGTTCAGGCAGAAATAATGATACATGGCACAGTGATGTGTGAGAGGCCAGCACAGACTGACAGGCACTTCTATAAATCTCTCTCAGTGTATCCCTCTCCTTTCTTTTACAAATTTTTTTTATTTTTCATTGAACATCTCTGTGTTCATTTGCTTGCAAATAGACATGTATTTCATTTTTTGTTTGAGGAAAATATCATAAGCTAATCTTCTATCTTCTTCACTTGTTTACCAATGAATTTGGAATACCATGAATTTTTTATTCAGTCTCTTTCACTCTCCTCTTCTTTCCCTCTCTTGATTCAGCAATTTTTCAGTACTTTTCTGCAGTGGCTCCCACATGTGCAAGCTCATGTACAGATTACAGTGCAGTCAGGGTGTGAGTTACACTCATTAATAATAGTGGCAAATGGTATCTTGAGTTGTCTAGTGATAGATATACTTGCAAGTAAACCTGGAAATTTTGTCTGTCGCTGCCTTCTGTCCCACAAGATGTAAATCTAGCAAAAACCTTTTCAAACGGACACATATGGCACTGATCAATTGTGTACACTTTCAGCTATGTTTGTGTGTTCGACCTCCAGTATATACAGTATACGAGACTGGTGGTGAAATGCTTGGGTGCTCTTTTCAACCCAATGTCTGTACTTAGCCAGAAATAGTTTGTGAGGGAGAGGAACGCCACATGACTGTGAGTTTTGTAGACAGACCTGATTGTTTCAACAGAAATAAGGGAGAATCTCCAAGTTAGATATTTGTGTATATCATAGCAATGTTTCAAGTTTATTTTAATAGTTGTGCATCCGAAACTTTCAGTGTTCGGAGCAAGGGACTTGTGAAAATAAGGTAAAGGCAAAGACATATATTTAATAGTGCAATTCATACACAAGGCAGGGTGTTCACAGATATTTAAACTCCTAATAGGGATTGGAAACAAATGTCAGAAGTAAAACTAAATATGAAGATTTATAGAACTTTGGAGCTAATGCTGACAAGAAATGACAACGAAGACATAAAAGCAATGAAAATAATGTTAGAAGGTAGCACAAAATAAAACAGCTGAATGTAGTTTCACTGATTTTTGTTCTTATAGCTAGCAAATGTAGGCAGAGCATCTAAGAGATTTGGCTGTTGCATATCGTGAAGCATATCAGTTATATGCAATATTTTAGGCAGACCACCCCCTCACCCCCTGAGGTGCCAGCTCTTGTCCGTAGGATGATGTTCTTTGTAGGACAGCCCAGAAGTTAGTGTTACCCTGGTTCCCTCAATGCAAATCCATTGGGATTTTTCCATAGGCTTTTGGATTATTGTGGAAAATAAGCTCTGTGATGAACAATGGTTTATAACACTTGCATGTTTTGTTCAGCAAGATAATCTTCACAAGTGAACACCACTATGATTTTTGAAGCCTAAATACAGTCGCCAGAAGTAAAAAGCTGTTGTTATGCTCTAAATGAACTACATCATGGTCCCATGACTTCAATGGCATTTAGCTACTTGTGGGCAACCACCTTTTAATTCAGGCACCTAACCAAAAACCCGTTCAAAAAACCCATAGACTTCAGGGCGAGGGACACGGAAGTTTTAGGACTCACTACCACAGCACTCTATGTACGTACATCATTCATTCAAATGAATAAGAAGAGCTGTGTTTTTCATGCAGGGCAGCTGTCTTTGTGAGTTTTTGAATATGGCCTAAAGAGAGAGAGAATCGAAGAGGTAAAAAACATACTAGAGGTAAAAAAAAAAAGGCATTAGGGTTCTGAGGATGGAAAAAGTAAAAGCTAACTCTTAGTAAAAGAAAAGGATAAACAGGTATGGACATACAAAACTCATCTGAGGACAGGTTTAAACTTATCATTTAACTTGTGCGCATGCTTAAAATGCTGGTGTTTGGAAATTTAACATACTGTGCTTCCCTTTGGCTGACTGGTCTCAGTCTTGATCCAAACTGTGTGTGTGGGTGTGAGTTTGTTTGCCTGTGTGTGTGTGTGTGTGTGTGTGTGTGTGTGTGTGTGTAGTGTATTTGTATTTGTCTTAGCATGTGTGAGTGCCTGCACACACTTGTATACACCTGCAATGGATAAGATAATCACTGTTACACAGAATGACAGAAATTAAATTAGGCAGTTATGAAGAATGAATCATAAAAATGTGTGTATGCACACACACAAATGCACACCCGGGGCTGGATTGTAACAGCGATAAGATGACATGCAGGTGGGAGAGATAAATGGAGAGAGAGACAAATGATGGATGACAAATAGAAAGGAACCCATTTGTAGCAAGGAAGTACTTTACGCCAAATTAGTTATGTATTCATGTGGTTTTCGTTCAGTTTCTGGTGTCCACTGGCAACCACAAAAACAATACAAAAATCACCACAGGCTCTCTTTGTGTTAAGTCTACTATGTACAGAGTCAAACAATCTTCAGGTCTTCTGTGAAGCACTAATCCAAGTTGAAGTTCACGTTACCTCATCAAACAGACAGAGTGACACACACGCTACAGTGTCTGTGCATATTTTAGTTGGGTTGGAAGAGAATGATGACCTCTATTCAGCTCTGATGTTGGCTTTTTTTATGGGGCTCATGAAAACATGATCAACAAAACCAACAGTATTTGTGTGTGTGGTGTGTGTTTGTGTGTGTGTGGTTGTGTGTTAAGCGCACCCACATGTATCCCCAACATCTGGTCTCCATGCGGAAGGCCCCACAGTATTAGTTGTGGGTCCATGCAAATGTAGAAAAATAAGGCCACACGCACATATACAATATGACAAAGCTCATTTGATGATCACCAATCACACGTTGGAGCAGCAACCTACACATCCAAGTGAAACACAGAGTGTTGCTTTTCTGAATTTGAATAGAGAATGTCAAGGTACATCACACCCTGTTGAATGTTGGGACAGGAGCACAATTTTCAGAGGTATGCACTGTATTTACCTGCATGCATTCTTGTTTTGTTTGGCAAAAATTTGCTTAAATAGTTTAGATCTCTTTTTATTGACTGTGGTAATTCAAGATGGATAACCTTAGATGACCATAGAAACTCAGAGCAGGCCTAGAGATCCTGTCTATGAAAACAACAGACTGAAAAATGACTCTCCACACTGATCTGAGCTCTTGGTTTGGGAGCCAACACTAGCTAGGAGCTGTCGGCAGATAACACAGATGCTACAGATGAATCAGTTTCTGTCCTGTCTGTGCTCAAACTGAACACTAACATGTAGCTGTATGGGATAGTATTTATCTTTTTAAATTAACTTATGTATGTAGTGTATAAATATATCTATGACTGATAAAGAGCATGATGCTCCAAACGTGGTACATTTACCCAAAAGTTAATATGGTGTGATGTCAACTTCACATTCTCTAATAAAATAGGTTTAATGTGGAATCATTGTTTGCGCTTGTATGTGTGTGTGTGTTGTTTTAGTGATCAAAATCACTGGCATACTCGACATGGTTAATAGATAACTTTTAAAACATACAGTTAGGTGTCACGCTATATACACACACATTTGCAGTAAAGGACTGTAATAATTAATGAGTCATAGGGTTATATAATTTAACTGCTTAAAGTTTCCATCAGAGCATTTAACCAGCTTTTGTAAGCCAGAAATGTGTTCTCAACCTTGTCGTTTTAGAAATATTTGAACACTGCACATCCACTCTGTAAGCCTTTGTGTATGTTATTGCACCTTTCTTTGTGTGTTGGTGTATTACATTCTGTTTGCATTCCTTTTTGGTCAAATTAAAATGGCTTTCTGCTTTGAATGTCCTGCCAATGGTGTTGATCAAAAGAGTCTTTTAACTCACACACATGCATGCACCCAGCAGGAGAACAGATGACACTTTGATATGGAGAAGCTTTTATGTCATTTTTAATGACAGAAAATGCAAGGACAAACACACACACACCCTTAGTTATCACCTGATAGGTCTACACTATATCAAATTCACCCCGACCAATATCAGAAGGCCTGGAAGAGCAAATGTTTGACAGTCATTTCAAGGTATATGTCACAGCTCCAATGTGTGGTCACTGTTAAGAGATGGTCTCTGGTGGCTGAACAAGGAATTACACAAAATTCCTTTTGGCTTTTGCAGATCAGTTTTGAGTGTACCACTGATAATTGATGCCCAGTAAAAACTGGACAGTCTATGACTGTGCTTCTAGAAAAATAACAGAATAGTAAAATGGCTTTGATACTCACACAGTAAACTAATAAAACAATACAGGCAATTATAAAAATTAAAACCAATTAAATCAGTAAAGCCTTCAAGCTATTGTTTTCAGATATTTGATTTGCATTATCTCATACAAATGGAAAGGATGTCCCAAAGTGCCGGCAATTGCAAAATTGTGTTTGAGCCTCGTACTAAAACTCGGAAAACAGATATAATGACACAGAACATTTTGTACACAGTGTGAAAATAAACCTTCCCGGGGGTGTTACGTTCAGGTTTATCTCTCTGACATCTGAGGGAGCACAAAGTGGTCTATAACATACACACCCGAAAAAAGAAAACAGTTGACTTGGTAGGTCAGCATAACACTGCAGATTAGTGTTGTAGATGTGTGTGCATGATTGTGCATGCATTTGTGTAAGGCGCGTCCTGTGTGAGTGTATGTGACATGTCCTGATGAGGCAAGTTGTTTTGGGCTGCTGGTGGGGGTACTCTAATCTGGCATGCACTCTCTGGCACTGTGCTACTTAGTTATTCCTCTGACAGCCACTGCCTTGGGAACAGAAGCTCAAGCTCACACACGCAAAGCACACACAGATTTGAATACAAAATACACACACTTGACATTGACACACACATGTTCACACAAACCCCTCTTGAGGCAGTGTTCTTTCTGATCTCACTTTGGGATTGGTGGGGACAGATGGGTGAACAGTAGGAGTCTGGGCTGCCATTACTCGGAAAGCAAAGACACACGTACATATATACACAGTTCACACACACACACACACACACACACACACTCTCTGACTTGGTCAGAAAGCGGCAGACAGACGGACTAAACTGCTCATGGAAATGTCTAATTCTCTTGGACTCTCTCTCTCTCTCTCACACATACACACACACACTCACACACAGGATTAGCCTACTATTAGACTACAATAGGATTAGACTACAAATTGTGGTCATATATGAGATTCTCTTTACACTTTGACATGTTTTGTGGTGCTTGAAGTAGCAGACTGTGGACTATAATGCCAGTTACTTCCCCACTGGAGTGAAAATGGATGTAAGTAATTGAATAAGGTGTCATCTAATATTCTGAAGAATTTATAAGTTGCTGGACTAGACCCCCTTTTTTGTTTGGTGACAGTAATTTTTCTTCAGGATTTTTCACTGTGATCTGACTTCTTCCATTGTATGTGTTAGGAAACCTGGGTCCCTTAACTTGTCCACTGCTTATTTGAAGAGGTCAGTATTTCCATGCTTTCTCCATCTAAATACCGAATACACTTACCGAAAGTCAAAATTCTCTTTTCAATGCTCCAGATTCTTTTGCTGCCAACATTGTGTTTATCTGAAGTCACTCGTGCCTGGAACGTTCAGAAACCCGAATAAGATGTATACATGCAGCAGTATCCCAGTGTCTTTTGGAGTAGCCTATTCCATTTCACATATTCAGGTTTCTCAAAACTGGAGTAAAAACTTATCCTGGTTTCTGAAATCGGGATATGTTTACATGCACAAACATGAAAACAGGGTACTTCAAAAATCCAATCATAACTAGGATACTCATGCAAACACCCTCAGTGTCTGTTATTTTGTCCACCCCAGTAGCCTCAGTGAGGCTAAGCTAAATAACATAAACCTCTTGGAAACACCACAAACTATAACCTCAGTTGTGAGAGTTTAATTAACACCCAGTAGTCTGAACAAAAAGGGAGTTTTTATTGTAGGACTGTTGTATTAGATCGACTTAGCTTAAGTGCTGCCAATAAGCAGGAGCATTGCATCTCACTGAAATTACACTTCTTGGATAAACTTTGTTGGTCATAATCGGTATCTGTCTGATTTGAGTCTGTCTAGTCTGCTCTGTGTAATACTTACATGCTCACTATGTTTTTCCTTTTCTCTGTCACACTGTCAGTGCTTATTTTGGTGCTGTAGGAAAGAACAGGATGTGTTGTCTGTATTTTCATACAACCTCATTGTTTTGTCTTTTTTATTGCTTTTTGCTGGAATCTGTTTGTCAGATTTGATTGATCTTGTCTGGAATCAGTCAGACTGAAAACATCTGCTGTTGCAGAGGATGGATCAGTCCAGATACACACACTTGCCGTATTTGCGAGTAGCCAGGAGCATGTCATAAATTTTAATTTCTTCATGCGTGTAGATTATTGTTGATCATAAAACTGTCTTATACATGCATGACTGTCAATAATTGAACTAGGGCGGTGCAGTCAAATGTGGTGAACTGTGGAATAAAACTTTCCTAAATTTTTGTCTGTTCTGTTCCAACTCAGCCCATATTCACATAAAAATTTATTATGGATTTTCTAAAACCTGAAAAATAAGCGGTTGCCTCTGAACTTTTGATTCATTGCATTTCCACACAATCAACCTCTCCTCTCTATCATTAAAGGTGTATAGTCTAAAACTCCTGTTGAGAGCAGGGGCAGAAGCATGGGGAAGGGGGTGGCCCCAGCCACCCCCAGAATCTGATTGGCTGCCTCTGCCAGAGTCAAAATGTGATACTTGTCATTATGAATGAATATAAAATATAAAACCAAGACAAACTGTTGCCTCAAATTCAACTAACATTTTTCTGGTGCTTTATAATTGACAATGGTCCAATTAGTTTTATTTTAGGGGTGTGTGGGGGACACCACTGTGTCACGTAGCCAAAGTTAAAGGAAGCACTGTGCGTGTGTCTCACTTTTACACAGAATAAACTATTTGATTCTTAATAATTTATGGTTTATTTCCTACAATTTGTATTTTGATTAACTTTTTACATGTATTTCAAATCTGCCACCCCTCTCTGAGTCTGTGCCCCAGCCTGGCCACCCTGCGTGGGAGTACACTGGTGCAGCTTAGGTTCTCTAATGAGTGAATATTGCTCATGACTCTTTATCTTCATCCTTCTGCTTTCCTGTTCTTCTTTCTTGACAGACTGGCTGTGGCAACTTCCACTCAGGAGGAGACAGAGAGGTTACTTGGAAAAGAGACGCAGCAGGGTGAAATTCTCAGGTAAGGAAACAACCATGGACAGGGAGACAAAGACAGATAAACTCACATGAGAGTGTGGGTTTAGTAAAGATAAATCATGATGGAGATGAGACACAAAACAAGATGATGGAAAAACAAAGAGCATGGGTTTGCATCATCATCCTGATTGGGTATCCATTCCTTGACCAGATGCACAACAGGAAGGCCAGGGCAGATGGGAAACAACTGTGCAAGACGATAGAGAGAAGACAATAAATAAGAGAATGGAAAAACAGAGGAGAGAAACTTACTTCAGCTGACCCAGTGGTAATTTCCTGGAAGTCGAGAGAGTGATAGGAAAAGTCATGAGCAGTTAATGACAGATGAGGAGCAGAGGAGAGGGGTAGAGGTGAAGAGAGTGGGAGGGAGGAGATGAGACGTCAGGGAAAAACGTGCTTTTCAGTCAGGCTGCTGACATTGAAAACAGCTAAATGAGTAAACCATTGGGTGAGCAAATACACGCAGGCTCCTTCTCTCTGTTTTTCACTGTCTTAGACTTATCACTGATGACAGATCTGCCTCATATCTGTTTCTCCATTTGGTGCTGTCAGCATTATGATTTATGCCATCTGACATTATAAAATTGGTTCTTGTGACAAGAAGTGCCCGTGCTCTCCCTCGCTCTGTCCACACTCTCTGTATAAACTCTCTCTGTCAGACTCCACAGAGCAGCTCAGTCTCCCCTCTATCCCCATCTCGTCATCTCTCGTCTGAGACCATGTTTATTTTTGATCACCTTAAGCCTTAAACCCTGAATAAAAAATAAAAAAAACACATCTTTGCTGAGTTATCAAAAACTGTCACTTTGCATGCAAGACCCAGCCATGTTTATGTTGTTCATCTGTGAACATATAGGATTGTGTGTGGTTGTGCAGGGGTGTATGTGTACATGGGGTGTGTGCGTGTAAGGAAACAGGAACCTCTTTAGTGTGCTTTTGCTCACATTTTCCTCCAAACATGTTTTTAGAATAACAGAATGTTCCATTCCGCAGTAGTTTTCCACATCCATGTATTGCATGAGTTTTTGACACGTGTGAGAGTGTGTGTGTGTGTGTGTGTGAGCTGAGCTAGCGATCTTTCATGTTGCTCAAAGTGCTTTTTTTCTGAACATATTTCCTTGAGAGTGACAGAGAGGGAATGAGTGCTGTAAAACATGGCTGTGCCCTTTTTTAAAGGTTAGTGTCATTACATCAGTTCAAAGTTTCCTTTTTATCATATGTTCAAATAAAACATTTTTATGTACTCTCTTGTCTGTATATCAATCTTTGTGATCACTCTATGTAATCCTGTGTGTACCTGTCGTTCATTCACTAGTTCTATGGATGTCAGTTCAAAATAACTTAGTGAGCACTAGATAATTTAAGCTCTGTCCACTCTGAAAGTCAACATTTGAGAGTACACAGGCTCTGGTTTTGGTGTGATTAATGACAGAGTTATGAGCGTGAGATGCTTTGAGCCTGGAGGAGGAATTGTACTGTATAATTATACATGAGTGAGCAGTAAATCCCCTGAGCATAATGTCAAACAGAGACTGTTTCTGTTCAGTTTGAACTTGATATGGATCAGGTTAGACCCTTGGTCAGGTTAGGGGTGTTTTTAAACCATCAGATATTTGGTGTTAAAATGTGTTGACAGTAGTTTACTAACCTCACATTTCATATAAATTACATTTGCAGAGTCAAATTAATTTAAAACTTGTCTTAGTGGTAGGTTTGTTTTTCAATTTTGTATTTCTTTAGTTTTTTTAAATATACCTTTTAAAGCCTGGTGATTTGCTAAATATTAAATGGCCCAAAGCCAAATAAATCTGCATTACTTTTCTTTTTTTATGTTTATTTTGAGGAATTGTTGGCATTAATTGAGAAAACGTAGTTGAGAGGTGGACAAGAAATGTGGGGACAATGAGAGAATCATAAATTCTGTAGGGGAACTTCATGGCTTCAGCCATTCTAGTCAGTATGTTTATGTTCACTGGTGACCAAAATGCGGTTCACATATGATTATTTTCTTCATTGAGCCATTCACATTCACACTAGAGAGCATTAACCACAGTCTTCTGTTCTTAGGCACTGAAAAATGCCACTGGAGCAACTGGGGATAAAGAACCATAATAAAAATAATTGTTAAGGAGAGAGAGAAAGAGGCGTTCAAAGAATTTCCCGGCTAGTTTGGAATTCTGAGTAACACCTGTAATGGTCAGTGTTGTCTGATTCACTCACTTGTCACGTTAACAGCTACCTCATTAGCCATTAACAATACACTCTCAGCAGTCTCTTATATTACAGCTCCAATTAGATCAGCCATCTGTGAAATAATGACGAAATACACGTTTACTGAGCAAAACTTTAAATGCAATTACTGTATGCAAATTTCCAGCTTTTTTGTATTTGAACTGTATTTTCACAGTGCTATTGTCTGTGCGTGCGTGTGTGTGTGTGTGTGTGTGTGTGTGTGTGTGTGTGTGTGTGTGTCAGAGGTGTGTGTATGCAGCAGCAGCAGACTCTACGATTGACTCTGTCCACGCTGCGCTCCACTGGAAGCGATCTCTTTATTGTACAGGGTTTCCTCAGCCAACTAACAGGGGCCTGGCAGGCCTTCAGATCTCAGATACTGCTTCACAGCACACAGGTGTTCACAGGTAACATACACATTAACACACACACATATACCAACAAGTGAGAGAGAAACAGATTTAGATGTATGAAGCTAATTTTTAGAAAAGCAAGACATTTAATTTGGAGCTGAAGCGGACATGAAAGAGAAATGTTGGGGAAAAAAGGCAGAAGAGATTCAAGCAAATCATTTCTTAACAGGAATAAATATTAGTTTAAGTGGGACCTGGACTCTTTTAGTTCTGAGGGCAGTATCCACAATAGATGATTGTGTGTGTTTACAGTCACTACACAAACTCTTGTAACCTTTAAAGAGAATTTATGCAGTGTTTGTGTATGTGTCCGTGCACATATATATGTGTAGAAATGCTACAAAATGATGAGACTTTTCCTATAAACTTTAAAGACACTGCAAGCAAAAGGAGCAGATGTGCAGGCTTTTTGTGTATGTGAGTGTCCATTGTTGACAATGAATGTCCAAATACAACCTCCGGCTCACCTCATGGGCAGGTCTTTTTTCTCTCTGCTGAACTTTACAAACAGCTGTCAGGTGTGCGAGTGTGTTTGTGTGTCTGTGGCTATCTATGTGTGTGCGGTACAGACAGATAGAGAGACTGAGGGCAAAACTGATAAAGAATGTAGTCTGCTTTTTTGCACCGATGCCCTGTGAGTATGAGTGTGAGTATGTTTGTTCAGTGATGTTAACAGGAAAGGCAGCTGCAGTATGAACCAACAGATGCAATAAAATACACACCCAGGAATTCACAAACACATTCACACATGCAAATAAACACACATGCACACAGTACATATGGTGGTTACAGACTTCTGCATCTTCTGCCAAAACAATCTACACTGACACATTCAGAAACTTGCTGTCCTACTGGGATACAAACACACAGCACAGGTAGAAAAAATGCAGATGTCAAGTAATAGAAAAAACCTATAATATGATAATAGTTTTATAATACACACACATACCGATGGTGGCACTGTACCTGCAAGGCCATGGGGAGCAACTTGGGGTTCAACTGTCTTGCTCAAGGACACGTCCACATGTGGGATGGGGAGAACGGGAATCGAATCGCCAACCTTCCGGTTAGGGGACGACCTCTCTACCTCCTGATTTGATTCCCAGCAAGGAATGTTAATAGTCACTGTCATCAGAGGCTCTAGTAGGCCCATTTATTAATTATGGAATAACATTTAATATTAATACTTGATTTTATATTGGACAAGAACCTGAAGTAAGGATATAGAAATGGACCTGAAGTAAGATGTGTGAAAACCATTGGGCCTTGCTGGACCTGACAAAGAGCTCCATAATGCACACACCTAAGCCAGCCACCTGCATATGACTTCAAACTGATATGGGCGTTAGCTGGCAGTTAAACTGCGCTACCTGTCTATCAGCGTTCTGTGGTTAGAGTCAAACAGCAGAAAAAAGGAGAAGGAGAGGGGGGGAAAGGCAAAGGGAAACATAAGGACATTGCCCAATGTGAGCAGATGAATGTGGTTTATGGTTAGGTGGAGAAAAAGAGGGAGGAGATGAAAGAACAACCTCATGAGGTGTGGAATTTGCAGAGAACAAGACAAACATGAGCACTGAGAGCAGAGGAAAATGAAAGCACAATTGATCTCAGTTCATTTTGTGCAGGTGCCAGCAGCAGGTGACTTCTACAGCTTGATTTGAATGTGATGGACAGAGAGTTTTCAGAGTATGGGAGGTTTCATTTCAACATCTGAGAAAAGAAGATACAGGCTTTTATGGTGAAAACCTGTAACTAAGCGTGACTAAGGGTGTGCGTGTGTGTGTGTGTGTGTGTGTGTGTGTGACTGATCCCTGAACCACAGCCATTGGCTAACATGGGCCAGCCTTAGTCAATACAGGATCTATTTCCTTGGAAGCTAGTTCTGTAATTGAAATTTAAATACATGCACAAATAATTGGAAAAAGACGTACAAACATCTGCCAGAATGTAGATGGAATCTAGAGCTAAAATCTAGAGTCATCCTAAAGGCAACGTTGTACTTGTGGCACTACAGTGTAAGTAGTAAAATCCTCAGTATTGTAGTGAAAAACTGACACTGAAACAGTGACATTCCTCCAGCTGTGTGCAGTCCAGCATTTCTATCACTTCTTTTTCCCATGAAGCTGCTGTAGTTTAGAAGTTGTTTTGTGTGTGACATAAAAAACTGTGGAGAAACCCAAAAATGATTGCTGTACTAAGGTAGTGAAGAATCAAATATAGTTATGTAGATAAGAATTCCAGGGTGCAGCTGTGTGTATGTTCATACTAGTATGTAACTGTTAAGGTAGCTTAATTTCCAGATATATACTGTATATATATAGACCTTATAGACTGACTACAGAAGGAGTGGAACATGTCTTCCCAGCCTTTGCAGGAGTCCCCTAGGTTTGTATTAGAGAGATAAGCAGAGACAAAGCCAGCTAAGTGTATACATCTCTTTTGATGTCACCCATGTCATTTCTTGGTTTTAAAGTTTTTATTTTAGCAACTATGTATTGTAATGTAATTTGATGTAGTGTTTACAGCCACCTTGTTACACCATGTGTGTCAGTGTGTAAGCACTGAGAAACACAATAGAAGCACTGCGCAGATAGTGACTGGGTTGCTTTCATTGCAAAGCCTTTCTGCTCCATCAAGTATTTATATAACCATTTCTGTTTGGACATGTCTCTTTCTTTGTGTATTTCTGTGTGTGTTTTTGTGCTGCTGTGTGTCTCTCCTCAAGTGGCTCTTGTAGATGCGTTCTTGTGTGTTCTGTATTTTTGTATGTCTTTCTGAACCTGCATGAGTTTCTGAGTGTCTGTGAGTGTTTGTGTGTGTTGCTTTATCCTGATGGACCTTGTCATGTCACAGTGACCAGAAAGCAATTATCGGTGGATTGCCGCTTTGAGGAGGACCTCCTACACTCCCCTGAGAGTGAGAGTGAGAGAGAAAGATGCGAGAAGAGGAAGGTGAGAGAGTGTAAAAGACAAAAAGGAAAACAAGGACCAGGAAGAGAGTAGGAGGATGGAATACATGACCAAAATATTGTCACCCCTGCATTTCTGTCAGATAACGCACCACTTCTCCCAGAAAATTGTTGCAATCATGAATTCTTTGGTATTCTCATGTTTTTTTCTTTTATTTGTATTGGAACAACACAGAAAAGCAAAGTAAAAAAGCCAGATGTGATCCATTTCCACACCAAACTCCAAAAATGGACTGGACAGAATTATTGACACCTTTTCAAAATCATCAGAAATAGTTGCATTTCATGCATGTGATGCCCCTTTAATTTGTAATGAAACTCACCTGTAACAACCAACAGGTGCTGGCAATATAGAAATCACACTTGCAACCAGTTAAAATGGAGAAACGTTGACTCAACCTTTGTGTCCTGTGGACCACACTGAGCATGGAGAAAAGAAAGAAGAGCAAAGATTGTCTGAGGGTTTGAGAAGTACACCAGTGGAAAAGCCTGGACAGTCTCACGGCTACAAGTCCAGAGATCTGGCTGTTCTTGTGTCCACTGGGAGCAACATTGTCCAGAAATTTACAGCCCACTGTAGCTAATCTCCCTGGACGTGGACAAAAGAGAAGAGTAGATGATAGACTGAAATGAAGGATGAATAGTTGATAAAGAAACTCGATCAACTTCCAAACAAATTCAAGCTGACCTGCAGGCACAGGGTGCAACAGTGTCAGCTCACACTCTCTGAATGACAAAGGACGCTATGGTAGGAGACCCAGGGGGCCCCCACTGCTGACACAGAAACATAAAAAAGCCAGACTGGAGTTTGCCAAAACTGACTTGAGGCAGCCACAGTCCTTCTGGGAGAATGTCCTGTGGACATATGAGACTAAAATAGAGCTTTTTGGTCGAGCACATCATTCTGCTGTTTTCAGAAAATGGAATGAGGCCTTCAAAGAAAATAACACGGTCCCTACAGTCAAACATGGTGGAGGTTCACTGATGTTTTGGGATTGCTTTGCTGCTTCAGGCACCAGATGACTTGACTATGTGTATGGCATTATGAAATCTGAAGACTACCAACATATTCTGGGGCACAATGTCTACATTGTTACAGTGTCAGAACACTCAAAAGCTCCCAGAGATGGTTTCAGGCAATGCATTGGAAGTGATTGATTTCAGTTATTTTGTCCTGTGCTACCAAATATTAAGTTGAGGGTGTCAATAATTCTGTCCATTCCATTTTTGGAGTTCTATGCGAACTGTATCAGATTTGGCTTTTTTCACTGCTTTTTTGTGTCGTTCCAATGCAAACAAAATAATTTAACAAGAGAATACCAAAGAATTTGTGAATGTGATAAGTATCTGGGAGAAGCGGTGTGTTATCTGACAGAAATGCAGGGGTGCCAATATTTTTGGCCATAACTGAACATGAAGAAAAACTGCTGATGTGAGAGACTGAGGAAAAGAATGAATAGAAAAACAATGAGCGCAAGAGCGAAGAAAGCACAAGCTGAGAGGAAGAGAATGTCAGGCTGACATTGCTGGATCAGTTTGAGAGCTCTCCAGGGACACAGCCACTGTGCCCTGCCTCACCGCTGTAAAGGACACACTTCACACACCACTATCCACTCTGGTAGCCTGTCAGACCTGTAAACAACTGGCCAGACACCTACACAGAACCGTTGTTGGTTGGCTTTATTGTTTGACAGGTTTATTATTATTATTATTACTATGTTTTATTAAGCAGAAAAGGCAGGATTCATGCATATTATCCTAATGGTAATGGTATTATTACCCATTTTTATATTGACCCTAAGTCAGATTTTCAAAATCATTGCAATTCTCTTTCATATCTGCAACTGTGAAAGAACTGCTCCTGTGACGTATTTGTATATGTACAGTATGACTAACACAAATAGTTTCCATGACTCTCACATTGATACAATTGTCACTATTGCTAAATTTAACTGGAAAGGTTTCTGCCACACCTTCAGCCATCCGTCTTAAACGCACGTCTGATGGAACAGACACCCATAAGATTAATCTGAACACCTTTCATTCATCAGGACAAATGTCCTACCTGCGGCTCGTGCATAGGAGTCCAAGAGTTTTGCAGGACTTTATCTGCACTTTTCTGAGCAACAGTGATTTCTGAAACATGACCCTTGCTACCATTTGTGAACGGCATGCTACTAGTGCACTCATAGCTTTTGTGAAATGGGGTCCAGATATATTTCAGTTCTGACAAATACAACTGTCTACGTAAGCACTCATGCTTCACTTGCCCTTTACATGTCAAACTGCAACCCTAGACATACTGTACTTTCATCTCTCAGATCTGTTTTCTTAGGTGTGCATGTAGCAACATGTCTAAAGAGAAAGCGTTTCAGCCAGGTTTTTTTGTCATCTGTCTCACACATGTCTGACAGAACATCACTCCAGTTGTTTCAGTCATTCCATCAGTCTATACCAGGGGTGGGCAAACCTTTTGGCTCAGGGCCACACTGACTTTTAAAATTTGACAGTAGGTCCGGGCCGGATGCATACATATCAAACATAAACATATAAAAGGCATTACAGTGTTAATACTTACATTCACTTTTAGTGGGAACAGTGTTGTTGATCACCCCTTTTTTACCAGTGCATCGAAGTCTGGTGTTAGTTTTGCTGTGGCAATTCTCAGAACAGATCTGAGGTGTTCATCACTGAACTGGGATCTGTGGGGTGATTTGTTGGTGTTCGTCACACTAAAAGTCTGTTCACACACATAGGTAGAGCCAAACAACACCAGCGTTAAGAGAGTTGAACTTCTCCTTTAAGACGGTGTCACATTGGAGATCAATCAGTTCCAACTGCAACTCCTGTGGCGCCGTTTCAGGGTCTTGTGTGAAGGGACATGACACCAGCTGAAGTGACTTGTCAATTTTTGTAAAATCGGAGAACCGACGGCAGAATTCTTCGTGCAGGTCGTCCAGTGATTTCCTGTATTTTTTCACATGTCGAGGGGCCTCTTTCAGCGTAACCAGTGTGGGGGAAATGAGTAAATGACTTATTTGACATTTGCTTTGAGAATAAAGCTAGCTTGGTTTTGAAGGCTCTGACATTTGTGAACATTTCATGCACAAACTGATCTTTCCCTTGTAGCTTCACATTCATTCATATGTGTCAGTATGTCCCCAGCAAAAGCTAAATCACAAAGCCAATCTGTGTCACTCAGCTCAGGAAAGTCGTCAGCTTTCTCAAGTAGCTCCAAAAATGAGCTAATCTCCTGTTTGAGCTCCCACACTCATTGACATACTTTCCCCAAACTTA